TACTGGCTCTGTGCTACTGTAGTGTATTGATACTGTACCATGAGCTTTACTGACCCTGTGCTGTGTGCTGTAGTTCATTTATTGATACTGTACCATGAGCTTTACTGACCCAGTGCCGGGTGCTCTGTTGCAGGCTAGCCGGCGCACTCTGGCCAGTTGCAATGTAGAATCTCCGGAGAAGACTCTCTGTAGCGTCAGCCCTCCTGTCTACCGGGGCGACACCACCGTAAGAACTCGATGCTGTTGGTTTCTGTTCCTGTCTGTGACTCTCACGTCGTCTCTGTCTCTGTGTGAAACAATCCCATGCAGTAATTTATCAACAAGGGCCCTGAATCTCTCTCTCTCTACCGGTGTCTGTCACAGGCAGTATTTCTCAATCAGTTCAGAATCTCCCCTGAAGCAGATTGGAACGAGACCATGGAGATCACTGTGAAAGCACACAGGTGAGCCTCAGGACATACAGTACACAGGTGAGCATCAGGGCACACAGCACACAGGTGAGCATCAGGGGACACAGCACAGAGGTGAGCATCAAGGCACTGGTGAGTATCAGGACACAGTACACAGGTGAGCATCAGGGCACACAGCACACAGATGAGCATCAAGGCACAGGTGAGTATCAGGGCACACAGCAGACAGGTTAGCCTCAGGACACACAGTACACAGGTGAGCACCAGGGCACACAGCACATGGTTGAGCACACAGCACACAATCAACCACACAACCACGCCCCAATGAGCCCCACAGCCATGCCCTGTCAATCACACAGCCAAGCCCAGTCAACCACATAGCTACAAGTACAATCCCTTAAAAAAGACCGTGTTTGAAATTCTGATGTGTTCTGCAGTGACAATGGAAAATTCTCCAATGAAACTGTCCTCACCAAGGAAATTCCAGTGCTGTTTGCCATTGACGTCACAGTCAAGGGGTGAGTCTCCTTCCGTTCCTCCATTCTCTCTCTGCACCAGCTGGGGTGACAGCTTGTGTACATTTCTAGCTCTTCATACAAGCATATGGATTGCTGTGTATGATCCACCAGGGTGGTATGGGTAGCTATCTGGTCTTGTAATTAGAGAGTTGTCGGTTCTAATCCCAGCTGGGACAGTGCTGTTGTGCTCTTGAACAATGCATTTTACTTTACTAAAGGGTGTGGCTGACACTTTTAATCCAGGGGGGAATTTGCACCTATTTATAAAACTGTGTGTTTTACTGAAGCAGCACCTTCTTCAAGGTGGCCAACAGCACTGTCTCGCATGGGATTGGAACCCACAACCTTCCAGTTTAATTACAGGGCCCTACCTTACAGGACTGATTGATGCAGTCCAAACCACCAGGGCTTCTTCCCTGAGCAATCCGCAGTCACACCCAGAAAAGATCGACATGCATATTCATCGCCTCGTGATGTCACATGAGTCAAAGGAAACACCTCCTGACGTGTCGTTTTCCTTCTTCAAGGCTGGATTCAAATTACTTCAATTTCACAGTGGAGGACATTGCATCCACGGACATCAAGCATGAGTATGAGGTAAAGAATTCCCAGAATTCAGCACAAACGAACCCTTGACCCCCGAACCGCTTGACCTCAGAATTGAGGGACTAAATGTCTTCAGTCCTACTTAAGGCACTGACTCCATTAAGTCAAAGTGACTATAATAAATGGGTGTTTACCTCAGTGTTTTCGCTCTGTCACAATTTGTGTAAAGGCACTACTTTGCGCACAAAGTGGTGAGGGTAGGGAACCCACAGCCCAGCCACGTTGTGAAAGCTGATACCTTGGATTCTTTCAATAGACATCTGGATGACATCCTCCAATTAGGAAAGGATTGTGGGAGTGATTGTCATTCTCGAATCGGGGATATCCTTGCTTGTCCCACACTCCCGCCACCCTCTGTGTAAAGTAGTGCCACCTGTTCCGGTTTCAAATGCAGTTCCCTGCAGGGAAGCAGAGCATTCATATGTATTCATAAATTACTGAGACATTAATTATTGAGCTTCAGCAAGTGTGAAAATGAACAAAGATTTTCATTTATTCAGCGATGGAAGGCAGGATGGCGGAGCAGTGTTTAGCATTGCTGCCCAGCAGCACTGAGGCCCTGAACCCAATTCCTGGGGTGTTGTCTGTGTGGAGTTTGTACATTCTCCATGTTCACGTGGATTTCCTCTCACAGTCCAAAGACACGCTGGCAGGTTAATTAGCTTTTGTGAAAATCGGCCCAGGTGTGAGTGCGTGCATTTGTATCTGTGTCTGTCTGCCCCGTGACCCTCCCATTGCTTGCTGGGATAGAATATGGCTCCCCACCACCCTCAACAGAAGCAGTTAGAAAATGGGTACATAGGAACAGAGAAAGACGTGTCTTTCTGTGTGGAGTTTGCATGTCCACCCTGTACCGCCCTGTACGTCCAGGACAAGGCTCCCAGTGTGCTCGAACCCAGGGAAATGATGGAAGAGTCATTCATGGCCAAAGTGAAGGATTTCTCTTAAGGGACGATGCATGTTGTTTCATGTAGTCCAGTATAGGCTGTTTTAGACTGTTAAAGTCACCTTTGGGGGCAGAGTGTGGCACGCCTGTGGGTGATGCCTTCAGTGCCAGGGACACCAGGGCTGTGTCTTGATCTCCTGGCTCTCTGGCGCTCTGCAGGTGAAGAATGAGGGACAGAAGGGTCTGCCCATCGACGTCGCCTTCACCATCCCCACCCAGTTTTCCAGCAACTTTTGGTGGAACGTCCAGAGTATCTCATCCGACATGGTAAGAACAGAGTCTGGCTTTCCATAGATGCTGAGAGATTTACCGATGAGGAAGAGCTATTCCATCTAAATCTGTACCTTTCACAGCTGCGGAAAAGAAGAAAATTAGTTTGTAACTATCACAAGGCTGACTTTGCACTCCCACCACTCTTTGTGTAAAGTAGCACCCCCCATATCTACTGATATACAATATATAACACAGATGTCTGTAATTTAAAGAGAACAGAGGCACTGTTCACTGTTAAAACTGTTCTTACTTGGTTTAATTAGCTGTTTCACAGTTCTGGGTGGGAGTTTAACCTTCTGTGCTTC